GTGGTCAGATCCCATCCACAGCTTCCTGTCTGGGATGAATGTATGCCTGGGTGCTTGCATTCCTAAATTGGGTGAGGGAAGGGAGCTGGGATCACCCTGTTAAGCCTTCAGACTTTCACTGAATCCTCCCATATCAGTCAGCTACTACTGTGTAACAAATAACCGCAAAAATTTCTGTGGTACACAGCAATAAGCATTTATTTCACTACACACCTTCAGGTCAGCAGGGATTGGCTGATGTAAGCTGGGCTCAGCCAGGCTGATCTGCTTTGAGCTGCAGGTCTGCAGGCCATCTGGACACCCCTGCTCCCTATTTCTTTTATACTCTTAGAACCAGCAGGCTTGCCAGGGCCTGTCCGTTTGTCAGCACAAGAGAACATGGGGCAAGCACATCAAATCTCTCCTTGTGAGGCATATGCTAATATCCCACTGGCCAAAAGCAAGTCACATGGCCAAGGCAACATCAGTGGAGTGGGGAAGTACGCTCCTCCTCCAGAGGTAGAGGATGGAGGGAGTGATTATCTAAGAGTAATCAAAACTGCCACATCTCCAATAATCAGTCTGGAGCCTCACCCACACCTGCTCTGCGGCTGGTGTCCTTGGGTCCAGAGCTCTCCAGTTGGGTTTCCCTGCCCGTGTGTTAGGGAAGGGTTGTTGCCAGGCTGTGTAGCGCAGGGGAGAGGACCAGGGGGTCTAACTGCTCCTTATACAGACTTCCAAACAACCCACCTGTTTTCAGGCTCCTGCCTCGCCATCTGTGGTATCTGGGTCCCCTAATTTGGAGCCCCCTTGTGGTCCTGTAAGGCCAGTTCGTTGCATCTTCCCCATCTCCAAGCCTCCCACCCCACCCTGCCATGGAACAGCACGCACTTAGGTTTGTCTTTCCTGGGCTCTGTTAAATCATTTACCACCCCTCCATCTGCTCTTTGTGCTTGCGTGCTGCGGTTTGGGGTCACAGGTGTCTCCTGGTTTCTTTGAAGAAGAGAGTTTGTGTTTCTGTTTTGTGCTCTCCTTATAGTCAGGCTGCTTTTCAGCCCGGGTGAGGGGGCGGAAACATCTCTACCTGGCGCCTTGAAGCCAGGGTCTCTTCCATTTGCTGTTGAGTACATTTTTGTGGTATGTTGACCAAACCCCACGGCAGGTGTTGATTTACACGTCTGTCTCTCCCACTGGCTTCTGGGCCCCTGGGGAGCAGACGGCTGGGTCTCACCCCTCTCTGCACCTCCAGCTCCCAGCGCCACTTGGCACAGAGCATAGTCTTAGCACATGGGAACTGAATTGATCTGGACCTCAGATTATACGGATGACTGCTCATCATCTCACTTTCTCAAAGCCTTCAGAAGTCTTCTAGAACTATCCTAGATCTGTCTCACTCCCCAGAGCTTACTCTGCCCTGCCTCGCACATCCCATGAGGCCTAGGTGGAATCAGATGTCCCCAGAGGTGAATATTTCTTGGGCAGTGGAGGAGTTAAGAGGGTAGCGGGGAGAAGTAAGAGATCAAAGGAAGAGACAGCAAGGACTTTGGCCCCAGAAGAGGCATTGTTTCAGTATACCATTGTGTCATCTCTCATGATTGCGTGAGTTGGTTGGGCTCAGTGGAGCGGCTGTTCTGCTCCACACGGTGCTGGCTGGGGCTGCAGTCATCTGGGGACTCGACTGGGCTGGCACATCCAAGATGGCTCGAGCACATGACTGATGCCATGGTGAGGATGTTGGAAGGCTGGGCCCAGCTGGGTCACTAGAAGGGTTGGGTCTCTCTCTCTCTCCTTTAAAGTCCATTCTTTCACCTGCTTATTCATTTATATAAACAACAGACATTTATCAGCATCCACTAGGTGCCAGGTACTTGCTAGGATCATGGTGACGCTACACCGAGGTATCTGAGTGGCATAATTACGTTTGTAAGTGAGGAAGATTCCGCCAGCCTTCCTGATGAAGGTTGGAGAAGGCAGGGAGAGTGGAGGCAGGGAGGCCAGTGAGGAGGCCGTAGCTACTGTCCAGGGGATGGTTGCAAGACCTATAGTAGGGAGTGGCAGTGGGCCAGATGAGGGGTAGGTTTAACAGATATTGGGAAGCTGAATTTTCCAGGTTTGGTGACCAGTGAATGCTGGGGGGACAGAATGGGAGAAGTCATCGTGACCCCCAGGCCTCTGCTTTGGAAGAAGACACGAGGAGAAGCCAGGCTCCAAGACAGAGAGCCCCAAATGCACTAGGCTTATCTGGCAGGTGCTTTCCTTTGCCACCAGATGATGATTTTAGTGCAAGAGGCCAAATATAATGCACCCAAGCCCTGATACCCAGCCTGGGCCTGGCACCAGGCGGGTCCATGGGAGTGGCTGCTGTCAAACGAGTGAGCATCGCCATGTTGTCAGCTCCTGCCCACAACTAACGGTTCTTCCTGTTTCAAAACTCCTCACCGACTTCCCTCGAGGTTTCTCTTTCCTATCTGAAGGGGTTCTGGTCCTCAGCCAATTTGCAAAGCAGAAACGAGTGACTCACCCCATGCTCAGTGAGTTCTGGACACAATGATACAGCAGAAGGAACACAGAGCTGGGAGTCCTAAGACCTCAGTTACAAATGCTGTCAACCAACAGTAACAGAAGGCCTAACAGTGACATAAACAAATAAGTGGTTTCATTTTTGCTCTGTTCCCTTACCAAGGCAGCCACTGGCATTTGTTCAGCTGCTGACCAAAGTTGTGAAGAATCCAGGCTCTTTTTATCTTTCTGCTACTCCATTCTTAGCATGTTAGGTTGTATTTTCATGTTTGTGGCTTCAGGTTCATAAGATGGCTGCTGCAGCTCCAGACTTCTCATCAGTATTCATCAAGGAAGGGGCCAGGGCAATGGTCAGTGTTGGCTGGGTCCCTTATTTTTTTATGGAAGAAAACAAAAACTTTCACTGAAGCTACCTTTCCAGCTGACTTTCACTTATGTCTTGTTAGCCAGAACTGTGCGAACTTGGAACTCCAGCTGCAAAGCAGGCTGGGAACAAGTATTTTTTCTGGGGCTAAATACACTGCTGCTTTGCACAAAACTAGAATCCCGTTAGCAAAGAGGATGGAAGTAGTGGTATCAGGTGGAAAAGTACAGTGTCTGCCTTAGTGAACTGAGCTCTAACTCCTGTGCCTCTGTTTCCTTCTTTGCAAAACAGAGCTGTTAGTACTACATTGGAAGGCTGCTAGGAGAATTAAATGAGATCATATGTGCCGGGTGAAACCACACAATGGTGAGAGGATTTATTTCCTGACTTTATTATTGGTATAAAACAAGGACTGCATCCACTGGGGTAGGCTCAGGGGAAGAGGCACATGGCAGAGGAGGTGTAAGCGCAGGAGGAGCGAGGGAGGTGGGGTGCAGCCAGGCCTTGGGGCCACCAGGATGGTCCTGAATTTATCTTGAGGCCCCGGAAGAGCAGGAAACAGAAAGAGGCTCTCCTCGACTCTGGCCCACTGAAAGGGGCTTCTCAGGGCTTTTAAACGTTGGATGTTTTAGGGTGTGAGTTCTGACACATACATGTCTGTATCTGTGTCGTGTGTTGGGGGGTGGGGCAGGGGTGTTAGTGGTTTTTTGGTTTGTTTCAGAGAAGTCACTTTAAAAGCATAACGACCTTGTCTGAGCTGAAATTTTAAAAGGCCACGGGATTTCCCCCCTGCACCCCATCCCTTTCAAGAGGGTTGGGCTCTCAGGAGGCCAGTGAGCTGAGATCTTGCATCAGAACTTCAGGACTTACGAGGGGCAGTGGAAGTGGCCGGGAGCCTGGAAGAGCAGAAAATGAAACCCAAATCATTTCACTGGCTGGGAATTGGGGGAACTTCTGTGTCGTCAGGGACAGGGTCTTATATCTCTTTTTTTTAATCCTTTATTTTAGCTTCTCTAGAGTGTCAGCCCCTGAGGGCAAGAACTTGGGTGTACCGCTGGACCACAGAACAATGCCTGGCACACAGTAGGCGTTCAGTGAATTCGTGCTGAATGGATGGATGACATTTAGATAGAGAAGCACAGTCGTCCGCAGGATTGGAAAGTCTGGCATTCGTGAATTAGCAAACACTGAGGTGGGACTGGCTCCATCCTGTACCTTGGTGCTTTAGGGATGAGCTTCGTAAATCCTTACAGCAGCCCCATCTCTCTTTTAAAGAAACTTGCCTGTGTTTTGTGCCTGCTGGGTCCGGCATTGCTTCCTTACACTGTTGGGACACTTTCCTGGGACCTCCAGTAGTGGAGACTAGGGGTTTCTGGCTGCTCAACACCCATATTCCCCAATTCTGGCAAAGCTCTCAGTCTCCCTTTGAGAACCAACCCCTCCCTCCACTCTAGTGGGTATGGTTTTGAAAGGGCTGCCTCCGCTCCATGCTCTAGTGTGGCATGTAGTCCAGGCTTGACCAATCAGAACACAGCATTCTCCTGACAAATGTGATTGGTTGAAAAGACCTGAGCTGGTCCAATCAGAGTAAACCTTAATTAGAACTTTGCCGGGGGCAGACACTTGCTCTTTTTTGCTGAACTTGAAACGGGAAGGAAGAAGCCCTTGAGAGTCACCTGCCTAAGAATGAACCAGACATCAGAAGGTACAGGAAAGTGAGCTCTGATGACATCATTTGAGTCCCCTCGATCAAGCTGCACCTGAAGTCATGATATTCCCAAACTTGAATCAGTAAATTTATTTTCTGCTTAAGCAGGTTGAATTGGGTTCCTAGTTGCAATGACAGAAATCCTGACTGGCAGGGTCTGCAAGTTTTAAGACTGTCACAGGTAAATGCAGCTCAGGATCCTGTGAGTGGAGCAGAAAGACGAGAGGTGGCAGGAGTCAGCAGGACCCAGCCTTTTGATTGGCTGGGCAGGTGCCGACAGAGATTTAGAAAATCTGAATGTTTTATGTTGTCCCCAAAAGGAGCACTAAGACCAGAAGAGCAAACTTCTCAGACACTTAATTTAGCTTCAATAGGAGAACCTCAGACAAGCAAGACCGTCAATATTGGAGTAGACTGCCTCACGGGAGAGCAAGAGACCCGTCCCTGAAGGTATATAAGTGGTGGCCGGCAACCATCTGGCCCGAAGTTTCCAGAGGGGATTCGGGTTTTGGGAGGGAGGAGTAAACAGGTAGATGATGCCACGTGGGGCATCTGACCACAGCAACACAGGGTAGCTTATCGGTCCTGGGGCTCCCCTCTGGCCCCTGGGAAGGCAGGAGCATGAGGGGATGGGGACGCAGCACCTACAGATTCACGCTCTTCCCCAGGGGGGGCTCCAGCACAGAGAAGGTGATGAGCCAAGCTCTGCAGCCATCTTGCTAAGAAACGCCACAGGAAGGGGACAGCATGGCCAGCGGGGATGTCCTGGGGCTTTGGGTGGGGGCCCTGCAGGGTCAGAACCATCTGGCTGGGAGGGCTGGGTGTGTCCTGGAAAGGAGACAGGCAGTGGGTGAGAATTTGGGGCCAAGCAGAATCCACAGCCGACTCCCGGCTCTCCTGGCTCACGGCTCATTCCAGCTCCCAGCTTTTGCTCAAGGTTGGCCAAGTCCTCTCCGTCCTTCTTGTCCCACCCATCCTGGAAGCCTTGTGGGTGCCTCCAACCCCTACCCATCCCTCTTCTGCCCCAGTAGCCTCATAACTCAGTCTGTCCTACCTCCACCCCTATATGTGGGTGTCAGGTCTCCCTGGCTCAAGCGGCCTCTTCCAAGGGGTAGGGGCTGAGGTATCTTTCTGCCGTGATCCTCCCCGCCCTGCTGCAGGGACGGCAGAGGGGGAGCTCAGTGATACCACGCCTTGCCTCAGGTTACCTGGCATTTTCTGACACTTTGAACCTTCCTTCTGGGAATTGGGCTCACAGAGCAGGACCGGCTCAGGCAAATGGGCAACCTGAAGCCCCTTTGATGGTCCCTCTTCTGTCCCAGCCTAAATGCCACTCCCGATGAAACCTAGGGCCACCGAACAGTGGCTGGACGCCTCCCTCCCAGCCAGAGCCTGCTGTGTGGGGGGCGGGGGGGCGGAGCGTGGGGAGGGGAGGGAGGGGCTCTTACCCCTAGAGGATGCTGCAGGGCCGCTTCTGTGGCCGCGTGGGCTGGGGGCACAGGACAGCCCGGATCGCCTCGTCAAAGACGGTTTTCAGGCCTCTCTGGGTGAGGGCTGAGCACTCCAGGTATTTCACTGAGTCTAGGTTAGGGCAGCAAGAGGGTAGAGGCCTAGGTCAGGGCTGGGCAAAACCCCCTCCCAAGCCATACAACTGCACCGGCTATGGTGGCCACCTGGGCTGTGTCACTCAGAGCAGGGTATTTACCCCTCTGTGCTTCAGTCTCCTCATGTCGGAAAGGGGGAGTTTTACTCAGAGGGAGAGGTTAAGACCCCCCATGAGAGCAGGTCTGTGTCTTTCTTGGACACAAAAGCCCTTAATTTAAGGAAGTATACCTTCCTGGCAAGAAAGGGGCTCAAGCTACGGTGACCAAATTTCTCGGTGCCTCACTTTCTTCTAGAAAATTCCCACATGCCTGCCTCCGTCTTCCCCCGGGAGGCCTGAGGAACCCGTGGCCCGCTCACTAGGACATTCCAAATGTCATCTAGCCAGTCCTTCGCATCTCCCCACTCTACAGATGAGAAAACTGAGGCTCAGAAAAGTCACTTATCCAAAGTCACACACTAGACATTTCCCCTCCCCCAGGGGCAGCTGGGGGCCCTCAGCAAGAGGAATGGGAACTGGGGAGCACCCATTCCCCCACGAGGGGACCAGCCTTCTCCCACGTGACCACTCAGGGCTGGAGCACGGGGCACAGACTGAGGAAGGTAGGCTGAGCCCCACTCCCAGGGGCAGTGGAAGGAACCTGTGAGAGCTCCTGTGTCCATTACAACCCAAGCAGTCTCCCTGAAGTAAGCAACTGAAAAATGCCCTCTGCGAGAGGCCTGGGGGCCGATTTCAGGAAACAGAGAAGGAGAGGGGCAGGAGGGGGGAACTTTGCTCTTGCGTGGGGGGAAGGAAGCAGACCAACGCTGATCAGCACCTGCTCCCTGCCAGGTACTGAGCTGGGCGCTTCCGACAACCCTGTGAAGAAATTCTGTGAGTCCCCACTTCCCAGGTGAGGAGTCAGGCCCAGAAAGGGGATGCCCCGGGGCCAGAGACACACAGCTGGGAGAGGGGAGCCAAGATCTCAGGAGGGGCAGCCCAGGCACAAGGGAAAGAAAGTGTGGGGCAAGGACAAGGAAACCAAGGCTCAGAGAGGATGTCACTTGTCCTGAGTCACACGCTGGATGTCTCCCTTGCACGTGGGAGCATTGTCCCACCAGGGAGCACGGGCAGTGGTCCCAGGGCTCAGCTGGCAGGTACGGAGCACCCCGAGTTGGGTCTGGGAGTCTCGTCACCATAACCCTCTGTGCCCAGAAGGGTGTCACTGGGCATTTGGCCACTGTCTCCCTGCAAGGGACTGTAGCCAGTGTCCACTTCTTTCTTCCACACCCTCCAGCTTCATCCTCCCTGGCACCTGCCACCCTCCTGCTTCCTGGATCAGTAGTGTCTAGAGAAAGGGTCCTGACTAGAGGCCTGGCCACTCCAGGACCTCAGCCTGCTGTCCCCCCTCTCTGCTCCCCAGTCGCCCACCTGTGGGGGCAGCAGACCACCCTGATCATGACTGAGGGAGCCACGCAGCCCGGATTCAAGTCTCGGCCGTGGCACATCCCGGCTGGGTGGCCTTGAGCTAGTGACTTCTCCCTGAGCCTCAGTTTCCTCCTCTGTAAAGTGGGATGATGAGAGTCCCTCCTTCATAGTTGCTATGACGATGAAGCAGGAGAATGCACAGGCCCAGCACCCAGGAAGCGCTCAATGCTGTGATTAGCAGCTGGGATCAGAGCTGCCCCACAGCTCGTCACCCTGGCCTGGTGGGCAGAGGTAGCTGCTGCCCTCATTAGCCTGCAGGCCCCCCGGGTCTCCCCCTTGGCCTGGGCTCGTCCGAGGCAAGTTCAAAGTCACTAGTCACTGCCCCTGGCCACCCCCAGCTGGTATTGGCTCCAAGATGGATTGGCTAGAGGCCAAGGCAGGAACCCCAACTCATCTCCTCATGAAGGAGAAAGGATCTTTAGGGAGTGTTTAGGCTGGCTAGTACGGATGGGGAAACTGAGGTCCAGAGAGGGGGAGCCACCGGCCCAAGGTCACACAGACAGTCATTGCCAGGACCAGAATCCAGGCTTCCAGGCCCCATCTTATTCCAAAGCTTGTGCTTTAAGAAGGACGGGGTCGGACACAGGCTGGAGAGTCACTGTCTTGGGTGGAAGGAGTCCGGGGGGACAGGCTGTTTAGAAAGAAGAGAAGGCAGGGGTGCAACCCCCAATATTCGTGAGGAAAGACCAGAGGGCCTGAGAGCCAGAGCCCCTAGGATGGGACAAAGGACCCAGGGTTTAAGTGGCAGCGGAGGCCCCTGGGAAAGACGGCCATGTCACTGGGCTAGTCACATGAAGGAGGGGGTGACGGCTGTGGTTTCTCTTCCTGTGAAGAGATGTGAGTCCCCAGGGCCCTCCCAGTTCCGGCGGAAGGAAGAGTGGTAGGGCTGAGGGAGGGATGGGTTGCAGCAGGCCCCACCAATTCAGGGGCCAAACCCTGGGTCTGCCGGACCCTGTGGTGACGCAGAGCACCCTGGGCAGCTGGGCCACTTCTCATAGTGGCCAAACCCCACTGGTGGTCCCAGGCTCTTGGGCAAGTACCCTGTCCCCAGGCAAAGGACAGCAGACCTGGACACCACGGAAGAGGCCAGACCCATCAGTCGTCACCTCCCTGGTGCAGGCAGCCCTGAGCCACCACGAGGAGGCCCCCAAGCCATCGGTTTGTGGTCCTGTGTTCAAATCCTGGTTCTGCCACCTACCAGCTGCGTGACCCTGAGAAGTCACTTCTCTGGCCCAGTGGCCGGGAGGCAAAGGGGAGTTGGGCTGAGAAGCCAGGAGGGTGAGGAATGGGGGGTGAGAAGGATGCAGAGGGAAAGACGTCACCCTTCAAACCCAAGCAGAAGCACCACCTCCAGGAAGCCTTCCCGGAAAACCCAAGCTTGACTTGGCTGCTCGTCCTCTGAGAAACCACAGCACGCCCCACTCCATCCCTGCTTCTGTCTGTCCAAATGCACTTATTTCAATGTCTGTTTATGTATTATACTAATACTATAATAACAATTAACACAAAGTGCTTCCCACGTGCAGTGCTGCTCTAGGAGCTCATGGGCGTGAATTCATCTAATTCTCCCAACCACCCAGAGCTACTACTGTTGCCACGGTTCACTGAGGAGGAAACACAGGCCCAGAGAGGCTAAGTGACTCGTCCAGGGTCACACAGCTAGTACACGGCACACCCAGGGTGGAATCGCACAGCCTGGCCCTGGACGCTATGTTTCCAATCCCCCTGCACCCAGCTCCGCTGTCTGAGCCCGAGCCCTGTACCGATCTCCTTGGCCAGCGCCAGGCCCTGCGGGTAAGTAACGGGTGCCAGCTTCTTCTCCTTCAGCTTCTCGATGGTGTCCTTGTCGTCCCGCAAGTCCAGCTTGGTGCCCACCAGGATGATGGGCGTGCTGGGGCAGTGATGCCGCACCTCCGGGAACCACTGGGCCGGTGGGTGGGGGCAGGAGGTTGTGCAGGGGGTAGGGGGAGAAGAGGGGCACCAAGTCGGGAGGAGATAATAGGGGGTCATGAGGGTGTGTGGGGAGGAGAGAGGACAGGTTAGAGAGTAAAGCTAACTATCACAGCCCCCTCTGAGACCCCCTCTGAGTCTCACCCCCAGTGCCCCCTGCCAGCCCTGGGTGGCACTAGGGACCCTCTCTGCCCACATCCTCTGCAGCCCCAGGGGCAGGCCAAAGTCAGTGGTCCCTCCGTCCCGTGCTCCCCTCCCTCAGGGTCACCTGCCCCATCCCCCCAGGACCCCCGCTCCATGCCGCTCACCTTGGCCCGGACATTCTCATAGGAGGCTGGGCTGTCCCTCCCTCCCGTGCTCCCCTCCCTCAGGGTCACCTGCCCCATCCCCCCAAGACCCCCGCTCCATGCCGCTCACCTTGGCCCGGACATTCTCATAGGAGGCTGGGCTGTCCCTCCCTCCCGTGCTCCCTCCCTCAGGGTCACCTGCCCCATCCCCCCAAGACCCCCGCCCCATGCCGCTCACCTTGGCCCGGACATTCTCATAGGAGGCTGGGCTGACAAGGGAGAAGCAGATGAGGAAGACGTCCTGGGAGGTCAGACAAGGGTTACTCATGAGGGGAGGCCTGGAGGCATCCCACCTGGGCTCTCCCACACCTGGGCAGCCACTGAGGGCGGGAGTGCCCAGTGGATGCTGGGCGCTTAGGATCCGGCAGAGTAGGGATTCCCTTCCCACCTCTACACCAGGCTGCTGCTTGTTTATCCAACACTTCCTAACGGCCCGAGCCTGTCCTAAGTGGTTAATCTTCACACAACACTGTAGCGGTGCTGCTGCTACCCCATTCCACAGATGGGGAAAGTGAGGCTTACAAGGATGAAAGCATTTGCCATCTGGAACTCCAGAATCCATGCTCCCCACCAGGCACTCACTACCTACCCCCAACCCGCCATCTGGCCACCAGCCCCAGCGCTTTCCTTGCCACCCTGGAGAGAGAGCCCAGCAACCACACAGCCACCTGCAGATGTGCCCCCATCACTCCTCCCCTCCCCTAGCACCCCCAGAGCTGGCCATCCTGAGCTCCCATTGGTCCAGAGTCTGCCTGCCCCACCCACTGAGAACCAGGTGGTGCCACAGCCCAAGAGGCAGAGGGGCTGGGAAGACAGAGGGCACGGTAATGACAGGGGCCTGATGGAGGGCGGGGACTCCTCGAGCTGGGCCTTAAGGGGAGGGTCAGGGCTCAGCAGGCAGAGGCAAGAGGGATGCAAAGCCCAGGACCACGAGGAGGGCTGGGCAGCATACCGTCTGCGGGTAGGAGAGCGGCCGGAGGCGGTCGTAGTCCTCCTGCCCTGCCGTGTCCCACAGCCCCAGGTTCACGGGCTTGCTGTCCACCATCACGTTGGCTGAATAGTTGTCGAACCTGTGGGAACAGGTAAGATAGAAGGGCCAGTCTCCAGCCCCAGAGTCTAGGGACTTGCAGTCCATGGTTCCATGGCAGAGGCCAAGACCCAGAGAGGAGCTACAACAGGACCAAAGTCACAAAGCTCTACGCAGTTGGGTTTTATTTTTTATTTTTCTTAAATACTGATCTATTACATAAGAAATTTTAAACGCAGGTAAGCATAAAGAGGAAAACATTGTCTCTACTGTTTTTCTGCCCTTCCCTACCCTTTGGAGAGACGATTTTTCGAGGCTGCATAACATTCTCTCCAAGGCATGATCAGAATAAACTTTACCCACCTCCTAGGCTGGACGCTGCGGCTAGTCACCCAATATTTGTTGAATGAGTGTTCATTCCCATCTTAGGTTGGGTCCCCCCAGAAGCAAACCCCGAGATGAGGGAGCGGCACCAGCGGTTTATTTGGGAAGTGACTCCAGGCAGCCGAGGGGAAGGGACAGCAGCCGTTGAGCTGTTACTGCGCGGGAACCGGGGCTCCGTCTGGCTGGGGCCACTGGGCTCAGGGCATCCCCCAGAGGAGGCAGGGAGCTGGGGTATTTAACCACCTTCTCCATCTCCCATTGGCAGAGGGAAGTCCTTGGGTGTTAATTCCCTGGCCTTCCCGCCCACCCCTAGTGCACACCAAAAACTCAGTTACTGGAGATTTCAGGAAAGGCCACTGGCGCACACTGGAGAGGCACCTGTTGAAGGAATAGGGTGGGGCAGAGGCTAACATCTCCCTGCCAACACCAGAGAGGCCTCCAGGGCAATCGCACAAGCTCGCACTGTGGGGAAACGTCCCAGACACCTCCCTCCCTGTCCCCGACCTGGAAGGAGCTTGTCGTCCCCTCTCTCAGGCAACTGCTTTGCCTTGACTATGAACTGGTTTTAGTGTGTCTCTGTCCCGCCATGGGCTGTGGGCTCCGTGAGGGCGGGGCCCATGTCAGTTTCATCTCTAAAGACTCAGGACTGGCACCTAGTGAGCGCAGGTGGAACAGAGTTAAACCAAACTGAACTGAAGCCCTTGGGATGCCACCCCCTCCACGAAGCCCTCCCAGAACACGGCTCAGTGACAGGCTGTAGAGGACAAGGGAGAAGCAGATGAGGAAGACGTCCTGGGAGGTCAGACAAGGGTTACTCATGAGGGGAGGCCTGGAGGCATCCCACCTGGGCTCTCCCACACCTGGGCAGCCACTGAGGGCGGGAGTGCCCAGTGGATGCTGGGCGCTTAGGATCCGGCAGAGTAGGGATTCCCTTCCCACCTCTACACCAGGCTGCTGCTTGTTTATCCAACACTTCCTAACGGCCCGAGCCTGTCCTAAGTGGTTAATCTTCACACAACACTGTAGCGGTGCTGCTGCTACCCCATTCCACAGATGGGGAAAGTGAGGCTTACAAGGATGAAAGCATTTGCCATCTGGAACTCCAGAATCCATGCTCCCCACCAGGCACTCACTACCTACCCCCAACCCGCCATCTGGCCACCAGCCCCAGCGCTTTCCTTGCCACCCTGGAGAGAGAGCCCAGCAACCACACAGCCACCTGCAGATGTGCCCCCATCACTCCTCCCCTCCCCTAGCACCCCCAGAGCTGGCCATCCTGAGCTCCCATTGGTCCAGAGTCTGCCTGCCCCACCCACTGAGAACCAGGTGGTGCCACAGCCCAAGAGGCAGAGGGGCTGGGAAGACAGAGGGCACGGTAATGACAGGGGCCTGATGGAGGGCGGGGACTCCTCGAGCTGGGCCTTAAGGGGAGGGTCAGGGCTCAGCAGGCAGAGGCAAGAGGGATGCAAAGCCCAGGACCACGAGGAGGGCTGGGCAGCATACCGTCTGCGGGTAGGAGAGCGGCCGGAGGCGGTCGTAGTCCTCCTGCCCTGCCGTGTCCCACAGCCCCAGGTTCACGGGCTTGCTGTCCACCATCACGTTGGCTGAATAGTTGTCGAACCTGTGGGAACAGGTAAGATAGAAGGGCCAGTCTCCAGCCCCAGAGTCTAGGGACTTGCAGTCCATGGTTCCATGGCAGAGGCCAAGACCCAGAGAGGAGCTACAACAGGACCAAAGTCACAAAGCTCTACGCAGTTGGGTTTTATTTTTTATTTTTCTTAAATACTGATCTATTACATAAGAAATTTTAAACGCAGGTAAGCATAAAGAGGAAAACATTGTCTCTACTGTTTTTCTGCCCTTCCCTACCCTTTGGAGAGACGATTTTTCGAGGCTGCATAACATTCTCTCCAAGGCATGATCAGAATAAACTTTACCCACCTCCTAGGCTGGACGCTGCGGCTAGTCACCCAATATTTGTTGAATGAGTGTTCATTCCCATCTTAGGTTGGGTCCCCCCAGAAGCAAACCCCGAGATGAGGGAGCGGCACCAGCGGTTTATTTGGGAAGTGACTCCAGGCAGCCGAGGGGAAGGGACAGCAGCCGTTGAGCTGTTACTGCGCGGGAACCGGGGCTCCGTCTGGCTGGGGCCACTGGGCTCAGGGCATCCCCCAGAGGAGGCAGGGAGCTGGGGTATTTAACCACCTTCTCCATCTCCCATTGGCAGAGGGAAGTCCTTGGGTGTTAATTCCCTGGCCTTCCCGCCCACCCCTAGTGCACACCAAAAACTCAGTTACTGGAGATTTCAGGAAAGGCCACTGGCGCACACTGGAGAGGCACCTGTTGAAGGAATAGGGTGGGGCAGAGGCTAACATCTCCCTGCCAACACCAGAGAGGCCTCCAGGGCAATCGCACAAGCTCGCACTGTGGGGAAACGTCCCAGACACCTCCCTCCCTGTCCCCGACCTGGAAGGAGCTTGTCGTCCCCTCTCTCAGGCAACTGCTTTGCCTTGACTATGAACTGGTTTTAGTGTGTCTCTGTCCCGCCATGGGCTGTGGGCTCCGTGAGGGCGGGGCCCATGTCAGTTTCATCTCTGAAGACTCAGGACTGGCACCTAGTGAGCGCAGGTGGAACAGAGTTAAACCAAACTGAACTGAAGCCCTTGGGATGCCACCCCCTCCACGAAGCCCTCCCAGAACACGGCTCAGTGACAGGCTGTAGAGGCTGTAATGCTTCAGAGCAACTCCAAAGACATCTGTCCTGTGACAGGCAACCCCCCCACCAAAAAGTGGGTAAACTGACATGTTTAACACCCCATGCTTGTCCAGCCTTAAGCTCCGCAGATGGCCCTGCTCCCTCCTGCCTGGAAAGTTCCTGCAAACGCCCCTCCCCTGGCTCCCCACTCTTCTTCTTTCCTGGTGCTGGGCTGACTCTTACTCATCCTCCCTCCAGTCCCATTTCAAGGTCACCTCCAGGAAGCCTTTCCCGAGCCCCAGCCAGGTCGGGGCCCCCACCCCGTCCCAACTCAGTAATCTGTGGTGAACTTAGCACCCAAACAGCAGACATCAAGCCTGGCTCGTTCCTCACTGCACCAAGGCCAGCATCGCACTTGGTGCGTAGTAGGTGCCCTGTGGACCTACTCTTGGTACCACCCATACCATAGTGGGATTTCAGGCAGAAGGCACTGTTCAGGGAGACATCGCTGGGCATGATGGGGAAAGAAGTGCCCATGCTTTCTTCGGCTTCTGCCAGAAACACTCCTTTGGGATGAGCTTAGGATGCAGGGACACTCTTTCCTTTACAGTCCAGTCTGAAATTCTGACACCAAAAATCCCCCAAGATTCCTTGAGCCAAAGGCATCTGTCTTCTCTGAGCCAACTCCAGGGTCTCAGGGGCCGTGGCAACGGGGAAAGAGCTGGTTCCTGGGACTTGTAGCAGCACCAAACACCTGCTCTGGGGCTGGTCAGAGGGTTAGAGACCTTCATACATTAGGTCTTGAAGTCCCAAGTGACCCAAGATAAAAGAACCTCAAGTTCTTGCCATTAGACAGTTGAGGAAACCGAGGCCCCAAGAGGTCAAATAACTCTTCCAAGGCCAACCAGCTCACAAGCATAGGAGCTAGGATTTGAACCTGGCTCCCTCTGTACACTCATTTGCGAGCGAGAGAGTGGACAAACGCACTGCAGCAGGGTTGATTCGCCCGGGGATAGCCACCCAGAGGTGGGAGGGAACAGTAAGTTCCTTGTGAAGCCTTGTCCTGGCTGTGTGACCCTGGGTGAGTAACCCAGCTTCTCTGAGCCTCACTTTCTTCATTGTGAGAAAAGCCCTATCTCTTGGGGCCATTAGGAAGATCCAGGGACGGAGGATATTCAAGCCACCTCATGGGGAGATGCTGAGGAGCTGGACAGTCTCATCCTTAAACGTCACCGGCCCCCCACAGAGGACCAGCTGCCAGACCCTGAGGGATCACTGCAGGGACAAAATGATCCACAACTCCCGGGGTCCCCTACTTCAGAGACCCACAGGCAACCAGGACCAGAGGAACCTTATACCACCACTGCGGCCAACCCTCACTCCCATTTACCAGATGAGGAAACTGAGGCTCACAGACAGGAAGGGACTTGCCCAAGATCTCGCAGTCAGTTGGGGGCAGAGCCAGAACTAGATCCTGTTACCCAATTCAGAAAAGCTCATGGCGTAAGCATCACTGCGACTTCATGGCTGGAGACTCAGCAGAGTTTGAGCTGGGGTCTGGGGGCTGACTGGGAGCTGTGGAGAGGACAGGGAGCTCACGCTGGCTGGGCACCCAGCGGTGCCAAGTGCTCTTCCAGGCCCTTCATACTTAGATCGTTTCAGTGAGCCCAGGAAGTGGATTCTACCATGGTGCCCATTTTACACAGCAGGAAACTGAGTCAAAGCCCGAGAGTGACATGCCCATGGTCACACGGCTGGAGTGCTTTCACCCAGAGTCTGCGTGGCTTCTTTCTGCACCCCCAGGGCTGCAGGCCCGGCCCTGACCCCAGCATGGAGTGGAGGAGGGGTATGGGGGGCAGGTGAAAGGGGGCTCAGCGCCGGGCATCACCTGACCACCACCCAAGCTTCCAGGGGAAAGAAAGTGGACTCACAGAACACAGGGACCACAGGGCATGCATGGCTGTGACTTGGGGACCAGGGAGGATTGATAGGTCAGGTGGGGCATGGACCACTGCTGAATTTGGGGCGTGGTCCTCCAGGCAATGGGGAGCCACCGAGGGCCTTCACCAGGCAGGGGTTACATGATCAGCTTTGCATTTGGAAAAGGCCCTCTTGGCCACTGGGTGGAAAAGTCTTGGAGAAGGGTCAGAGGGGAAGCTGGGAGACGGAGCCACCGGTGAGAGAGGTGGGTGGTTGGAGGAGATGGGGGAGCGGAGAGGTGTCCCAGGTGGGATGCAAGGGGACAGAGGGCGTGTATGAGCAATGGGGAGGCTTGAGCCAGCAGGACACAGTGAGGGAATAACTCGCTCGGTGGCAAGAGTATGGGGCGAGGGGGAGGTGCGAGGCCAGGCCGGAAAGCTTGGTACGTCCACTAGGGAGGCTGCACGTCATCCTGTCCATGGGAATCTGGGCTGGATTTGCCAGTTTACAAAGGAAGGTGAAAACCAAGTACTGGCCCCTCCGACCTAAATTAACCACCTGTGTTCTTCCTTCCCAGAGACAAGCCCCCACAGAGCTGAACCCCTGCTGGTGGCTGAGTTCCAGCACCTTCTCAGGACAGGCTGGAACATGCCCTCCCTGCCTGCCAGGCTGGCCCTGTCACTACAGAGCACCAGCCACGTGCTCATCTCTGTTCTAGAAGCTGGTCTAGTGCCGCGGTCCCCAACCTTTTTGGCACCATGTCTTCTTTCATGGAAGACAATTTTTCCACGGAATGGGCGAGGCGGGGGCGGGGGAGGGGGGGGGGGGGGGGGGGGCTGCTGGTCCAGGCGGTAATGCGAGCGATGGGAGCGATGGGAGCCACAGATGAAGCTTCGCTCGCTCACCTCCTACTGTGCTGCCGGGTTCCTAACAGGCCGTGGCCCAGAGGTTGGGGACCCCTGGTCTAGTGAACTAGACAGACCAGGGCCCTGTCCTCATG